TACATTTAATAATAAATAATAAATATGATTAGTAATAATGAACATTGTATATATATTTGGTAATTGACCCTTGGCTAAATCCCACCCTGGATGCAAACTGGCCAATCATAATGTAGCATCAGGCTGGCTCAGACCAGGGTCCGACACGTCGTGTATTAATGATACTCGTTACCTGGAGAGGTTTGAAAAAGATATATAACCAAAATCAAACCCTGAAAAGTGTAGGGTTAGCTAGCTAGCTACTGAAGATATAGCCTACTGGCTGCTTTTGCACAGGCTGCTTTTGCTTTTAAATGATTATAACAGTGAAACAAAGACCCACCCTGCTGTACAGGAACCAGTGAGGGGAAGCAACATACACAAAAGTAAATAGATATTGACTTGAAGCACTAGACACGTGTTTACTCTGTTAACATGTTACTGAAGCCTCCATCTTTTTCCAACGTAACAGTATTGTCTTGGCCAAACCGATGCCCACCAACCACCTCCCTACAATCTGTATGTTTCACTCCTTTCTCTCCTCTCCCTTCCTCACTCCTCACTCCTCTCCTCCTGTGCTGTCACTCTTCCTCCCTCCTTTCTCGAGCTTCCCTCCCTCCCTCCCTCCCTCCTTCCTGTCTCTCACCAGAGGTGAAACGCTGTACTTCTCTTCCTGAAGTCATTTCTATGTTAATGAGTCTCCTTGTGAGATAACACAGGCAGCAAGGGCCTCGGACACACACACACACACACACACACACGCACTGGCAGAGCAAGTGAAAAGGATGATAGGACCTGTCACTGCTCTCTCTTTGTTGATCTGTTCATGCCATTATTTAATTATTAACTGTAATCCTTTTTTCTCCCTCTCGCTCGTCACTTTTCTCTCCCTCTGTTTGTTTTTGATCGCTTTAATTCGTCTGTTTCATCCTCTGTTTATTTTGTAGTCTGTCCGACAATTCCTTCAGCTAAACAGCCAGTCGCTCTGTCAGTCAGCTCGTCGCTCACCCCATTGTTACATCCTGATAGTCAGTTAGTGAGTTATGGCACTGAATCACACTGACGCCAACATAAAGCTAATTCTAAAACACCAACACTTAACAAAGAGTGCACTCATATAAAACATATATATA